ACATGGAGAGGCTTTACAAAGGCTATATGTACATGCTCAACCTCCTTGCGCCGGCGCACTGATTTGCAGAATTTGTTTGCACTTAGAAGAGTCACAGGGGAGTTGCGCGTCTCATCCAATAAGGCGGTACGCTCGTTCCCCTTGGCATCACGCACCACGAACTGATTGTCCGCCCACATGGTCCTTAGGCAATGAGCCTTTAACCAGCCCAAGCCAATGACCGCGTCGAACAAACACTTGTCCATAACATAAAAGTTGAGCTCATGTGTGACAGTGCGGTCCTTGTCAAAGGTGACGCCCACACCTTTGACAACATGTGTGGAGGTGACAACCTCTTGGTTGCCCACCTGGGTCTGACAAGGGTTCTGCAGTTCCACTTGCTTCATTCCCAGGTCCGCCTTACGAATCTCATTAGGAGAAAAGAAATTAGTGGTTGAACCACTATCAATCAGCACGCGGATGTATCGGCGGTTAATGAGCAGTTTAAAGAAGGTTAGCTCCACACTCCCTTGAACACGGCGTTGCTGCTTGAGCTGCAGCCAATGTTCCAGGTGAGTGTGGAAGTCAACTTCCTTAGACTCCTCCCAAGGCTCAGCATATAGCACATGAACTGCAGCAGCCTTGGATTCAGCGTTGTTCCGGGCTTCAAGAGTAGGCTGTTGATCAGATTCAGGCTCATCGGAGGGGCCTGCAACCGACGTTCCAGCTTCCCTTGTTGTAGGGAGTGTTGATGACTCCTCTACGCCCTTTGCTTGTTTCCCTGAAGTCTAAAACAGTCCTGCACAGCATGCCCAGGCTTTTGACAATGCAAGCATATGCACAGTTTAGATCTTTCCCATTCTTTTTGACTGATGCGGAGGGCTTCCCAAGGCTTGGTAGATGCATCCTCCGGTTTCTCAGGGATCTTCGCGTTCTTGGGGAGGTGGACAACAGTTCCCTTACCCGAACCACGGTTTGGCCCCTTGTTTGAAGCAGTCTTTTTAAACGCATTAAGTTTTTCGTCTTCGTTCACGTCAGACTCAATGGCTGATGTGGAACAGCCCGTATCGGAGTTCGGCTCTAGATCGTCATCTAGAGATAGATCATCCACACAGGACTGATTTTTAGCCTCCCGATGTTCATGCAGGGCAAGCTGGTTGCTGCTTCCATATCGCTTGCGTTGTCGTTTTCCACCTGCAGCGGGCGCCTTCTTCCGCCTGGCGAGGTCCTTGGCCTCTAGGTTGACTAGATCCGTCATGAGCTCTCGCCAGGAGGTATGGTCTTTGAGTGCTAACTGGGAGAGGTATTCTTTAGGGGCCACTCCCATGACTACATCCATACAAGACACGTCGGTCATTCCCAGATCTGGAGTGGTGAATAAACCAGTCAATTGTTGTTCCAGAGCCTGCATGGAGGACCTCCATGTTTGGCCCTTGAGGGCCTCAAGCTTCAGCCTAGCCTTGAGCGCAGCATGCTTATCTTGGTACCGTGTGATGAGAAGGTCCTCAAGGGCACGTACAGGGGTTACCTTAAGCCACTCAGTCAGGTCAATTCTTTCATAACCTGCAGCAACAACTTGGAGTTCAATGTGATTCTGTAAGGCGGGCTCAGTATTAGTGCCCATGATCATGCTTCGGTCTTCTTACGGTGTCCGCATGACCTCGAAGTATGACCGCATGGAACTAATCCAAGAGGTGATATCCGCTTTCCCGTCGTACTTGGACGGCAAGGTGGCCGCCCGCTTGTCCACTACAGGACCGCTGTACTGAACGTCAGTAAGGACTGTGGCGTTTTGGGCTGATGCCCCTGCATTTGGGACTATGACTAGTGCAGAGCTGCTGGCGATGCCGCTCGAGGAGCTGGCACCAGTTCCTGCGCTCGTCACAGTTCCACTTGCTCTTGCCATGAGGACTGTGTTAGATTGAGAGACTGGGACTGCAGCAGGTCGAGGGTTAGGAGGGTGGGGGGCAGACAGTTGGGACTGTTTGAGGCTGAGTATCTCAACCTGCAACTCTTGGTTTCGCTGCTCTAGTGCTGTCACACGGGACTCAAGGTCTTCCAAGGTCCGCAGTCGAACCAAGGCTGCTACGGCAGCAGCTAGTCCCTCCTGGAACCGGTCAGCATTGGCTTCCGGGATCCGAAGGAGGGCCACCTGATCAACAATGTTGGCGGCTCTGGCTGCTGCCTCTGCCTCCCTTTCCCTCTGCACGGCATCATCATAAAACTTCTGGAAGAACGGTTTCTCGTTCTCATCTGCTGCATCCAACATGGCCTGCCATTGGGCAGATGTGATGTTTGCCATGCCGGAGGAAGGGGTGTTAGCAGATCTCTCAAGAGGGGTCCGCTCTCTCCTCGTGTTTGGACGAACACTCCTCTTGCCCTTCCTCACACTCTCAAAAAGAACACCTTCTCTCTCCCTTCTCTCTCTCTCAGCTGCCTGCGCACGTGTCTCGATACCGGACATAGATAGTTCAGATGAAAGAAACAAGCAGAAAATCACACAGAGAAGAAGGTAGAACTCCTAGCCGGAGCGGCGATTCATTTGGACTTAGAGAATGGCACGCAGCGGAATAAAAGAATAAAAAATAAAAAAAAATAAAAAAAACGGAAGAGAGGACTGACTTATAGAACGGGCCCGATCAGATTAGCTGGAGATCCCCTCTTGTCTAACCTGACAAGGGACATATATCACAATAAATCAGTCAAAGAAAACTAACTGCAGCAATGGAGATTTCGAGGGGTGCAGACGGTCGCCGAGCCAGACTCGGGGCAATATGTGATAACAGGCGGTAAGACCAGTCAAGATCCCCTTGAAAGGAATGCCCTTGCTAGCCGTATGTCCCCCAAGTTCAGCACAGTAAAGAGAAGCATTGGCGGCAACAGATTTGGGCCCGAAAGGTCCTGTCCCGTTGGGCCTGGTCCCACTGGGTCCCAAGGGGTCCCAAGTAGGTCGTGGACCAGGACCAACGAGATAGGGGTACCAAGTCAGTCCCAAACTGCCTCTACCGTAATGAAAAGGAAAGACAACTTTCAGCAAGAACTTACCCCTACAGCCGTTCAGAAATGAAAAGACAATGCACCGTAGAAAGATATGTCATTTAGAACAGATACATCATCCATCCATCCATCAGGTGAGAAAGCAATCCACATGCTCACACACACGACCAAGACCGCAGAGAAGAGGAAGAGAGCCCATCACACCCCCAACAGGCCATGAAGTACCAAGCAACCTCCCACGGGCATAACCAGGTCACACGGCCTCCAAAGATGGATAACGAGTCACCCCCCTCTCTCACAAGTCCTCCTGACCCCTAGCTACCACTACACGAAGTGTCCTAGCATRACTAAGAGGGCCTTCCTACACCCCTATTGCAAAGCCGGATCCCCTGTCGATGTCTGAAAACCAAAGTAGCAACTTGCAGCAATTCGATGCAGATATGGCAGCCTCCGAGCAAGTCTCCCTCTTGAGGGGAAGCCCAAAAGTCACTCAATGTCTTCTTGAAGTGCAGATTCCACGTGGGAGTACCTCTCACTCTCTACTCCCTCTCACTTACTCCAATCAGCCTCCTTTGTGTCTCGCCACCCCATCCATTCACTCAGTCAACCTGGCCAGGTCAAATGTCGACCCTACATGACCTAACCAGGTGGGGGTAGTATCCACATACCTCACTGCCCCACTTAACCCTAACTTCCAACCCTAATCCGAGATTAGGTTAGCCCTGACCTAACTCGGAACTAGGTTTAGGGTGACTAACGCCTCTCGCCAGCAAGTAAGTCCGCTCCGATACCAATTGTTACGATCTTGGTCATTTCCCAAGTGCAAATTCACATGAAAGACAATGCCACCCAATTGCGAAAGAAATGACAACACTTGCAAAGAGATAAAGACCAGAGGAGAGAGAAAGAAGAAGAAGAAGAAGAAGAAAAAGAAGAAGAAGAAGATGTACACCAGCAAGACCAATGACAATTCCCCCTTCTCTCTCCACCTTCCTCCTCCTCCTTCACTTCACCAATCTTATTCTTCCCTCAATAATAATAACAACAATGAATGGATGAACCAGAATCAATATCGGAAGTTCCCTCTTACTGCTGACTCAACTCAACAACAACAACAACAACAACCAGTCCACCATAGCTATGGCTTCCCTCCTTCAACCTCCTCTCTCATGCATAGGCTATGGCGGACTAATGAGGGCCTTGCCCTGACGTCCAAAGGACAACCCAAAGCAGCTATGGTGCTGCGCTGATGTCCAAAGGACAACACAAAGCAGCTATGCCGCTGCTGACTRGTCCGCCATGCCTGACTCTGCCTCGAGCTTCCTTGGTGCCGCACTACCCCAACTGGGGCCTTCCAGATGCAGCACCCAACAAGGTGATGAAGATGGTGTCTACCATAGCCAGGTAAGTGCCTCGCCACTCTCCTACCATGCCCCCTTCTTCCTCTTCCTCAAGCTGGACTGCTCGCCATAGCCAGGCTGAGCTCCAGCGGCCCTTCACCTCCAAGCAGCGCTGCACCAGACCAGCGCTGCGCTCCAGCAG